CGGTATGGTCACCTCAGCATTCCGGATCCGCAAAGCTGCAGCCGCACCCGCGGATGCACCAAGTGACATTATAGCAGTGACTAAGGACATTGCAGCTCGATCTGCCATAATGTCCCGCTCGAGAGAGCTAGGTGACATCCACTTTGAGGAGTGCACCGTGGCCATCTACGGAGACATCCCATTCAATGGGCTGATGGCGAGGAGGCAGCTACCAGCCATTGCACGACGGCTGCGAGACGCCGCAATTAAATACAGATGGGGAATAGAGGGCTCCTTAGTAGTTAAGAAGGGGGATGACAAACTCACATTAGCCCCATCTAGAGACCAGACGACCTTTCTCCAGCGGCTAAACCTATCACCCACTGCTCCAAAGCGCTGACCCCCAATAGTACTAAGACACCAGTAGCCACACTTCCTGGATAGCCCAGGGAGCCCACACTAGAGAAACCACGGGAGAGTTTCTCACCTACCTAATGACCCATAGACCACACAAGTTTGTAAGAAACCCTGTATAAGAACCCCTCTCTGGGGTGTGGCCCCTCTCTGTAAAGTTTAATCTGCTCTAAGTTCCCCAAGTTCCACATTTCCTTAATTACTAACACTCTATATCTCTACATACACCCAACTAGCAGAGGGCTATATAAACAGTCAGGAGCAGAAACAGCCCATGACACAAGTCTATAATGTAACAATAGGCTCGTACTTACCTCTTACTAGGTGACACAATGTATGTATTGCCTCATCTTAGACCATGTAACCACTGTTTTATTCTATTACCTATCTCATACTGCGAACAGTTGTAATTTGCATGTGCAAAATACAATAAAATACAAATTTTAAAAATAGGAAACATTTTTTTTTTAAGTTCTCCAACAGCTACTTGTAATGCATCGTTTGGCATCTCTGCTTTCCTTCAATATATTAAATCATAAAGTATAATAAAAATGAGGAATATAATTTGTTTAATATTGTAGTTTGTTCGTACAAAACTTTCCTTCCAATAATCTATTCATCTCATAGTTAAAGGAACACTATAGGTTCAAGAAAACAAACATGTATTCCTGACCCTATAGTGTTAAAACCACCATTTAGGTGGCTTGCCCCCACTTAGCCCCCTTAAAAGGTAATCAAAGTTAACCTACTTCCAGCAGTGTGCAGGTCCCACCCCAATCCACCTCCTTGCTGACAGAATTTATGATTTTTAGCCAATCCAATGCTTTCCTTCTGGGAAAGCTTTGGATTGACTGAAATTGGCAAGGAGGCAGGATGGGGGCAGAGCCGAATGCCAGCTTGGCCAATCAGCACCCCCATGCAGACAGTGAAGACACTGAACAGCAATGCTGCCTATTGTGCAGCATCGCCTGAGGAAGCACGTCCAGTGGCCATCTGAGGAGTGGCCACTGGAGGTGTCCCTAAGGGGAAATGTAAACACTGTGTTTACATGAAAATGCCTAAAGCTGTATATAATGTTTGCCACTAGGGAGCAACCAGTCACCCTCCTTTCCAAATCCTGTGCCAATAAATGCACACCCACTCAGGAGGGTTTTCTAAATGCGTGCTTTTAAATTTTTAACGTCTTTTAATAACTTGAAATTTGGCCTGTCCCATAAGTAAAATTAGCGTACTTTTAGTAGATAAATAGGTATATTTTTTTATTAGCTTCTTCTGTTTTAACTTGCCTTTTGAAACATTATTAATATGACTGATTATCTCATTAGCACAAGTTTAGAAAGCAGTGTCTTAAACGTGTAATAAACACCGTAATAAAATGAAGAATGCAATATATAGAGAACTTTTCTTCCCCAAACTGGAGAACTAATTTGGAGTTTATTCAATACAAAAGTAAATTATAGTAAATTGAAAACCGAACTAAAAAAGTAGAAAAGAAAAATGATCTGAAAATACTTTTTTAAGGTCCTCTATAGTGACAACTTGACCATTTTAGTCGAAATGTTCAAACTTTTAAATCACTGCAATTTAGTGTTTAATAAACAATTGCCAAATTATTCCCAAAGATTTTAACACATTTTCTCTTACATCAACCTTATCCTTGTCTGGATACCAAAATAAAACTCTTTCGACATTTCCTGAAACAAAAAGGTACATTGTACCTCGGGCAGGGCTGTTTGGAAAGTTAACAATTCATATGCAAATAGAGAGATACCAGTTACAAGTCAGATATGCAAGAATAGAAGTATAGTAAATATATATGATAAAATAAAGAGTTAAAATTGACATACACATTCCAGTTTCTTTTTTTCATTCATAACAACAATCCATATTATAAGTATAATAGCAGGATAAGTGGTTTATTTTGCAGAATAAAAGAGACAGTGGTTTAACATGATACTGTCAGTTTAACTGTCACTGGTCTTAACACCATTGAATAAAAAAACTGATATTTACCCATAACTTGTGTTAAACTTTTTTATAAGATACGTTCCTTTAAATTTATATTAATGATTTACTACGTGACATAATATTCCTGTTCAGATAAGGCAAAAACAGGGCAAACCTTACAAACGAAGAAGAGAAATAGAAAGGGTGTTTCATTTACCTTCTTCTCTGTATGATTTCTCTATACTGATTGCAAGGAGCAAAGGACAGAGTTTGTAACGATGATTGACAGGGAGACAATATTGAGGCACCCAGCTCTGGATAATAAAGAGTGTGGATTTCTACTATTGTAATTTTCACATTTCATAAATAGATATTTGTTAATTATAGAGATAGGAGTCCATTGTCCATTTGTAAGATTACGTAGTGTGTGAGGGGATGTTGTGTGTTTGTGTATGGGCTGAGGGAAAGACTCTGTGTTTGCTTAGCGTATTTAATGCTTGTTCTGCGATCGCCTGTGATTTGTCTCTGGTGTCCCTTTACGTGTAATACCAGGGGACATAGAAGGAATAGGGTGGAGATGGAATACTGGGGTGTTTTATGCGCTTAGAGGCTGTGAGGTAGTATATGGGGGTCCACCAGTAATTTGCCTGGTTTGCCAATAACCAGTCTATACCTGATGATGCCGGCTGCTCTTGCGCTGGCACTGCGAATGGTGTACCCTTTGCTTTAAATGGACACTATAGGCACCCATACCACTTTATCTCAATGAAGTGGTCTGGGTGCCATGTCCATGTTGTTTTAAACATGGCCGTTCCGCAATTCGTTTCCCTAACATTATAGACTTCCTTGAAGTGGACTATAAATCTAATGAGGGTTATTCATCAAAACGTGAATTGTTGCGAGTTCAACATGAAAGTCAAATGTTAGGACTCCTGATTGATGTAATGTTACAGTCCAATATCTGCCCCTATTAAAACAAAAAAACTGGATATTATGCACCTTGGAGCTGTCTCATGTCTTGCTCTGAGTTTAAATGTATTTTCCATACTATGGAATCCAAATTCATGTATGCTGATAAATAAAACACTGAGAATAATTAGGGTGCAGTAGAAAATGTAAAAATTAGCTCCAATACAGGAACATGATGTTCAGCTCCAAACACAACCCTACCCAGCTCTAGAACTAGTGAGTAGGATTTGTTGTACATATATATTTTTTTAGAAATGTTCCCGTGATATAATTAGTCACACATATTATACTTACTTTGTGTTATGTTTTTTTTTTTCTTTTGATGTAATGTTAGAGGTAATTCTTTTACTGTACCCTTAGTGGTAGATGTTATCTCCAAATCCCTTGTGATTCTTTTGTACTCATTAAATCAGAATTTAAATCTTTATGCATCGCTTATTCTGGGAAATTTTCACACTGATGGTATTTTCCCCCGGAATGTTCGATTTCACCTGTGGGAAAAACCCACATATATCCTGTTTCTCGTTTGATGTACAATTGCTTTTTGTTTGTGCCATGCAAAGTGCTCTATTCACATTCAATGTTGTACACCTTGATGGTTATGTGCATTCACATTCCCTATCCTCTCCCCTTCTCCTTATTGTAACTTTATCTTTGTTTGAAAATTAAGAATACACAAAATTAATAAAAATAAAATTTTTACATTTATTTTTTTTACAAACGTGCAATGAAGTAGCAAATACATGTTGCACAATCGTGCAATGTTTGTGGCCTGGGGCGCTGGTCAGTGTTTGTTGTTTAAGGTTGTTGTAGCTTTCTTTGATAAATCAAGATTAAAGTTGTCCTCTATTCTTATGTAAATGGAAGTCAGTTGGGGTTTAGATGGAGGAGAGTATATAACTATAGCTCTTGGTCTGAATCAACATTCATCTGACACTACTCCTAACTGGAAGTTGGCTCACAAAACAACTCTTTTTAACCATGCGTGTGCTAGTCTTACTTGCAGCTCTTTGTGGCGTATGTCTTACGTTCCCATCTTTGGTGAGTCCTTCTAACAATACCATCCAGAGACACCGTTTTTGCAAACCTTGTTGCTAAATCTGACTTTTTTTTTTTTTTTTACAGCGGCTGTTGCCAAAGAAGAAAAGACACACAAGAGAAGTACAAAGTAAGTTTCAATTTATAATTTGTCATAGCTCAAAACAAACAATGTAGATTTTTTGATGACAATTGGACAGGAAAATTACAATGAATATATCAAGATTTTACACTAGACAGAGAGAGATCTAACAAGTCATTTAAAACATTTCTGAAAAATTATAATTAATTTTTTAGCATGATAGGGAAGACCTTTTCCTTGACATACGTCATGCCCGTCAATCTGTCTGTTTGTTAATCTGTCAATTGTAGTGAACTGGAATGTCAAAATTTAGGCTAAAGTAGCTGATCTGGGAAAAGTTTCCAACTAACAGGATTCTTTACTAAATAACCCTTCTAGATACAATCACAGCATGGCTCTTTTAATCTGAACTTTGGCATTGTCTTTCAATGTCACTACGATAAATACACCGTTGTGTATGATTAACAAATCCTGATACCAGGATACACTGCTAGACTATTCTTTCTATGTTCATAGTTTAATTTTGTAACATTTTACAGATGTCACTGAGGATACCGGCGTCTTCCAGAAAATGTATGAAGCCAACAAAGGCCGTTGTGAGTAAAAAAAAAATGCTCATTTATTTTAAAGTAGGACTGTCACATGTGAGATTTTTGCACAGCGTTGGGGCTTTTTTTCAATAAAATCCAAACTGCGTGATTTGAAATCTGAATGTCAAGATTAAGGGTAAAATAGCTGATTTGTAAAATATTATTCAACACGGTTATCATTGCACTTTGCCTTTTTTAGCCGGCGTTTTGCATTCTGTTTTCAATCCACCACAGTTCAGTTTAGTGCACAAACCACCCTGACTAAACTGACTAAAACTAAAAAACTAACAAAAAGCCTGAAAATGTAACTGTCCGGTCGAGTTTAGGATTGTTGGGAGGTAACCTACAATATATAGTTATACACGGTAATATTATTATCATTCTGGAACTGTTTAGACTTTTACAATACATTTTGTTTCAGTGGAAATCATGCTGCCCTGTATAATTTTGAACTAAAAATCCCTTGATGGTTTGCCAGGAATAATTGCTGCTGTATAGCGAAGTTTCTGACATCATAAATATTGTGAGGGATCTATACCATATTCACTAAAAAAACAGGGTATTGTGGGAGATAGACAAAGAGATGAAAATGTTTTGCCTAAATGGACAAACGTGAAATATGGTCCAATTCTGATAATTTTTTTAGTGGAGTTGTTTTGGTCTAAAATGTGTAATTTCCTTGTCAGTTCTCAACAATTTCTTGTTTAGTGAATGAATCCTTTAATGTTAAAGAGGCACGCTATGCACCATAACCACTACAGCTCAGGGTATTGGTTTTGATGTAAACGCTATGAGCGCTGTGCCAGGTCTTTTTGTCAACCTGTTTCTCAAAAAACAGTGCTCACCAGTCCTCGCTCCACTCAGACTGATAATCCCCAATTTACACTTCCACATTGACAGTTTAATTCCATTTTAACTGGAAGGTTAACCTATGGTTGGTTTTAAAGTGCTGGGGGCACCCTTAGCCTATCACTGTCATCCAGGATGGATGGAATATTGGGAATGCTGAAGGCAATCATGCCCCCCTCTTTCCAGCCATCATTAATGCGCCACTGGCATGTGTCCACTATGGCCTTACCCTGTCCCAGCTCTATTTCCTACCTCCAGATATTGAAAGGCTGGACATACTAATATGCGTGGGATTTCTAAATATGTATATAGTTATATACTAAAGTCAGAATTGTCGGGAATTCAAAGAGAGAGTTTCAAATCTAAAGCCAAAATAGCTGAATTAAAAATATTGTCAGGGATGCTTTCAGTTTGGCTATTTTAGTTTAAAATATTACATTCAAATTTAAATAGCTCTGTGTGTCTTTTAAGAGCTGATGTCCTATATCTAAACACCCCTGCTCTAACGGCTGTGTTTAAAATCAATTTAACATTTAAAAATATATATTGTAATGAACTGAGTGCACTTGCAATTCCTGTCTCGGGTGCGGGGGGTATAATACTTAGCTATTGTTTAAAGGGTTACTCGAAGCATCATAATCAGTACAGCCCACAGGTTATATTGGTTATTATTCTGGCTCCATTTCCCGGTAGTGGGGCAAACTGTTTTGTAACAGTTTGCCCTTTTACCTAAGTCCCTTCCTAGAAACGACTGTCCTCCTGTGGCAGAGCTGCAGAAACCCAAAGTTGGTTCCAATGGCTATTCATTGGCTATTTATCTGGCCCGGAACTCTGGCTAATGACGGGGCAGGAGGTGGGGTTAAACTGTGTGTAGCATTTCAAAGCGAAATGCTACACATGCAGACTACAAGCTCCATGACCACTTAAAATAACTGGATGCTTATTGAACCTTTATTTTATTTGACTTGTTGGCAATATTTTACTTATTTGACTTGTTGGCAAAAATACATATCAGTAGTGCTAATAATTTTCTCTTGAATAATTATTCCCCCAGCCTTCTTAGACCCACGACACATTATAACTCACTTGGATGTTGCTGTTCGACTTGGTCGCACTAAACGTTGTCAGAATGGTATTTGCCTGTGGCCTAAATCTCAGGATGGCAATGTTTATGTTCCTTATAAAACGTCCAGTTCATTCCGTAAGTACACAGCAGCTAATAACCACATGATAATAGAGTCGATGTAAAAAAGCTGTGACTACAAGAAAACTCCTGTAGATGGCCATTATCTACTGGCAGGATGATTGACTAAAGTATTAATTGTCATGAATTTAAAGTGAAAATTAGCCAGATTGAGAACTGTCTGGGAGAATTTTACCAATCATGGTCTGAAATTTTAGCCTGTAAAACTAGGGACGTTAGACCTGCCATATTTTTTCTGTACACAACTAGCTTCTGTAAACCGATGGATAGCATGACGAACGAGCGTCTCTGTTTGTAGTATTCACATGGTGCTGGAGTCCTTCTTGATTGGTTCCTTACTTGCAGCATTTTAACTCTTCATACATTCTGCATATACTGGCAGTCTATATGTATATGTGATGTATGTCTATGAAAACATGGTGGGTCTGATATCCCTAAGACCATATGAAACTTATGTTACTAAATATTATAGCACCGCTATCACCACTTACCTTGAGGTTTTTTTTTTCATGGTGAAACTTTTTTTTGCATATCTGCAGGGTACTATGGCTGCAGGCTAGAGTTATAAATGTAAAATGTGTAAGGTGTTTATCTGTACCCTATTTGTGTTCTTCCAGAATTTATGGACCTGGCGTATTTAGGGGCGTCATTCAGTGAACTGGAAGGATCCACCTGTGTACGATTCATACCTCAAACAACAGAGACGGACTATATAAGCTTTGAAAATTTACAGGGGTATGTACAGATAAGGCAGCCATTTACCCAGCAAAACACTCACTCACACAAATAGACACACAATCACATGCATGCATAGACACACACATTCACACATATATAGACATGCACTCAGGGCCAGATTAAGAGCCCAGTGGGCCTGGTGCTGACAATTATGATGGGCCAAATTACAGAATCTTATTGACCAAACACACTAAAACAGTCCTACCTCCCAAGCGTCATGTATCTGATGGAGATGGTGCTGTAGGGAAACTCACAGGATGCAGCTATGAGAAAACACATACCCTATGTTTATCTCACGCTTTCACCTTTCAAGTAAATCCATATCTCTAACAGCAGTGTCCAGTAAAGCAGAAAGTCTATGGATGGGGTAAAAGGGTGGGCCACTGACACAAATCACATTACCAGAACTGCCGAAAGGGACGAACATACACAAAAAGGGGGCATTTCTGTGTCCCCATGTCTCCCAGTCCCTGAGTGTCTGTGTCCCCATGTGTCCCAATCCCTTAGTGTCTGTGTCCCCATGTATCCCAGTGTCCCCATGTCACTGGGACACTGGGGGACATTGAGGGACATTGGGACACCGAGAGAGCTGGGGAAACTGAGAAACTAGGGAGACCTGTGGACAGTGGGTGACTTTGAGACACGAGAGGACACTGGGAGACATAGGGCACTGAGACAATGTGATACATAGGACACACTGTGATATATAGGGGACACTCGAGACTTGATAAAGACCTGGGTACAGGTGTACAATTAACCTGCTTAAATCTATCACAGTGCGTGCCTGAGATTTTTTTCTTTTATACTAGGGGACACTGAGATACTTGGGGGCACTGTGAGACAAGGGGACACTGGGAGACTAGGAATTCTGAGAGACTAGGGACACTGAGAGACACCAGGGGCACTGGGAGAGATGGGGTACTGAGACATCCTGATACATAGGGGACACTGTGATACATAGGGGACACTGGAGACTTGGGTACAGATAAAGATAAAGACCTGGGTACAGGTCATAACGTTGCGTTGTGCAATAAACCTGCCTAAATCTATCACAGTGAGTGCCTGAGATGTTTTTCTTTTATACTAGGGGACATTGAGACACTAGGAGACTAGGGGACTTTGGGAGACTAGGAAACACTGAGACACTAGGGACACTGGCACACTACGGACACTGAGACACCAGGGACACTAGGAGACATGGGGATACTGAGATATTAGGGACACTGGCTGGGAGACATGGGGATACTGGGAGTGCGCCATGTTTCCCAGGTCTCAAAGTCTCCCAGTGTCTCCATGTCTCCCTGAGTCCCCATGTCTCTCAGTGTCCCCTAGTGTCTCAGTGTCCCCATGTCGCCCAGTGTCCCCTGGTGTTTGTTTCCCCATGTCTCCCAGTATCCCTTAGAGTCTGTGTCCCCATGTCTCCCAGTGTCCCGATGTCACTAGGACACTAGGGTACACTTAGAGACATTGGGACACTGTGAGACATGGGGACACAGACACTGGGAGAGACATGGGGACACTGAGAGACTAGGGGACTCTGGGAGACTAGGAACACAGACACTAGGGACACAGAGACACCAGGGACACTGGGAGACATGGGGACACTGAGACACTAGGGATGCTGGCTGGGAGACATGGGGACTGGGAGACTAGGGGCCACTGGGAGACATGGGGCCACTGTGTCCCTAGTGTCTCAGGGTGTCCATGTTCCACAGTGTCCCTATGTCTCCCAGTGTCCCAATGTCTCAGTGTCCCCAAGTTTCTCACCGTCCCCATGTCTCCCAGGCTCGGAGTTGCTGTCTGACCTCTCTGTGCAGAGCTGCTCCCCCACAGATCAGTGTGTAGAGAGAGGCAGATGCTGTAACTTCTTATTCCTGCCTCTCTCCACACAAGCAGCGACCCCTACTGGCTGGTATTGCAGAATAATCTCTGTTTATACTCTGTTTACTACTGCAATACCAGCACCAGCTAGGCAGCCTCAAATACCTGAGAAATACTTCTGAGAAATACCTGGCAACCATAAGAAATACATGAGACATACCTGGCAATCCTAAGCCCCTATGTTAATCTGGCCATGCATGCACTTACACAGTCACATACATACATACATACATACATAGACAACCAGTCACATATACAGTTTCATACATACATACATAGACTCACATACACAGACACAGGGTTTGGATCAATAACCCTCCCTCCTAGCCTCTTACCTCTGTTGATACCTGGGTAAGAATAGGAGGCTAGAGGCTGCAGACCATGGTCTCTCGTGGTGGAAAAGCAGGAAAGCTGTGCCCAGTAAGCAGGGCTATACAAGCGAACATGCATTTTGCAACACCCCCCACCCAAAAAAATCTTCACCTGTGCGTCTATTAATCCCCGTTAACCCCTTTAGTGTTTGTTATCCTCCATTTTCCCATTTGTGTGTCTCTTATTAGCTCCTTGAGTGTCCCTCACTTCCTCCCACTTTGCTTGTATCTTACTCCTCCCAGCTCCTTTGTGTGTGTGTGTGTGTGTCTTTCTCCACCTAGCACCTCTGTGTGCCTCTGTCCCAGCACCTTTTCTGTTTCACCCCCAGTCCCTCTGTGTGTCTCTTCTTCTCCCCCAGCCCATTTGTGTGTCTATTTCTTTGCTTCCCTAGTCCCTCTGAATATCTACTTTCCTATTCCCTACTTCCTCAGAGTGTACCTCCCCCCCAGCCCTTCTGTGTGTCTTGTCGCCCCTCGTCCCTCTGTATGTCTCTTTTTTCCTTCCCCAGGCCCACTGTGTCTCTTTCTCCCCCTTTTCTCCATCTCTTTCCCCCAGCCATTTTGTGTGTCCCTTGTTTTCCTTCCGCAGCCCCTCTCTTTGTCCCTTTATATCTTCAACCACCCCCCCCCCTCCCTCCAGTAGCTGTAGTTGTCAAGTGTGATAAATTATAATAAAAACCCATTACACAATTACATGGTCACATTAGCCATTTTCCCATGGCCACAAATCTGGAAGGTTGCCGTGATCTGATTTGTTCTAGAAGGTATTACCACTTAGCCCGAACGGAATCAGATCATGCATCGGGATTAGGCGTTAATGCATGATCTGATTGGTCTGTGAGGTCACCCAAACAGACCATGCATCAGGGTGAGTGCTAATGCCTTGTGTCTGCTCAGCCACAATACACAAACTGACTGGCAGGAGAGAGTGCTGTGCTGTGCCTTCCCTCCAGCCAGTCACCCAGCCATTGCGTCCCTTGGGCCGGTGCACTCTAACGGTGCTGTATGTGCTGCCTTATGGTTGTGCCGGCCCTTCCAGCACACACACTCATTCTCTGGAATGTTGCCATGGCAATCATAGCAGCAGATATGCAACATCAGGTTTATGATTTTATGATGAGCACGCTCGATGGGTTACTTGTTGGCATGTATCTGTGATCTGGACTGCCATCTTGAAATTGTTTTAATGGATGGATATTTACTCTTTAAGTTAAATATCAATTGTCTTTCAGGTGTTGGTCTTCGATAGGCTGTGTTGGTGGTGCACAGACAGTGTCCCTGGGGAAGCCTGGGTGTATGTGGACAGGTATTATGACCCATGAAATCATGCATGCTCTAGGTCTTCACCATGAACATGTGAGGATGGACAGAAGTCAATATATCAACGTTCTTTGGCAAAACATCTTGTCGGGTAAGTTCTTCACACCTGTAGCAATGAATGCTCAATATCTTTAGATCTTTATGATGATCGAGACAGTTTGCTTAAAATGTACATAGGTGATCACCAGTTTAAATGTAGGTTTATTTGTTGATGTGACTTTGATATACCATATCATGTTCCATGCCATTAACACAGTGTAGGCTCATTGTGGCACTCCAGATGTTCTTGAATTCCTTGCTCCTTGATACTCATACAGTATCTAGGCTGGCTAAGTAACATGCGAAATTTAGTAAACACACATCTAGGATGGTGAGATATCTCTGATTTGTGTGCAACAGTCTCTTTAATCATACCTCTCTTTGTTACATTCTCTGTAGATTACAAATCTAATTTTGAAGAGAGTTTCACCCTCAACCTTAACTTGAGCAGCTATGACTATGGATCTCTCATGCATTACGAAGGGTAACAGTATGACACATCTCTAATAATGTTCCCAAATAGTTCACCACAGACCAGAGGAAAATATTCAACTTGCCCAGGGAACTACTACCATCAGTTTGCCCGTTGTCTTCAGGTCATGGGGAAATGAGCAATAAAAAAAAGGTGGAGATGGGATTATTCCAGCAAGTTAAAGTGTAAGCTCTTTAGGTGATCTACAATGAACAAGTCAAAGCTTTGCCAGATTAGTAGGTTATTTTAAATGTGCTCCAAGGGTTGGTGGGGAGCAGATCTACATTGGCCATATTTTAATTCCATTATCAATCAGTCAGCCAAATATAGTGTACCAAAATCATAATTTATTTACCACAATAATGAATTCCATATTTATTTGTTTGAATCTCTGTTCTAATTATACTTAATTTTCCTCTAACAGAACTGCTTTCTCTATCGATGGTATTTCGCCGACTATAGTTGCTATCCCATACAACAATGTCTCATTTGGACAACGATCAGAAATGAGCCAACTAGACATCGTGAAAATTAATACTCTATATAACTGCAGTAAGTACAGTGCAACACTATCACCGAGTCATATGTTGTAGACGAGGAATACAGTTAAATGGGCATAAAAACCCGATAGCTTTGGGTGCACTGTGGCGCCACTCATGAGATTATAGGATGATATTTAACCATTAAGAATACATGGTATAAATGTATTAGATGTATTACCCAACTCAATGGCACTAATTTTATCGACCTCGGACTGATCAAAGGCTTAGCTTACCTAGTCTTAAATCGAAGTACAATGCCAAATTTCTGCTGTTGGAGCATTGATTTTGTGATGAACTCTGCCCAGTCCGCTTCCTAAGTCGCCAAAGGTGGACTGGGGTCTCTCCGGAGTTGTTTCACCTGACCAGGCTGGAGCTCTCTCTTTCCAGGCAGGTATCGTCCCCTGTGCCTCTTCCACTGCAGCTTTCACCTATGTCAACTTTTACTTGTTATGTGATTAGTTCCTGTCTTTATAAAGACACTTGTGGCTCAAAGACCTAGCTCTTTTGACTCTGTCCCATGCTACAAGGACCATGCAGCCAGTCAACAAGTCCAAAGACCGTTACTGGTATTCCTGAATAAATTAGACACGAGACACACAGTTCCAAAAGGAACTAGCATTCTCAGTTTCATTTTAACTAAGGACTAGCCTATAGGCAAGTTACATTAAACTTACGGTGACAACTCAATAACCTACAAATAATCAAATAATTTGGGGAAACACACAGGAACTCACAATAATACTATAGCATATTAACTAAAGGGGTGGAGAAAACAATAATTAACACAAATTGTCTCTCCTGCCTGCAGAAAGCATAATATGCAAATCTACCTGAATATGCAAATTACAGTCTTGCTATTTAGGGAGTGCATATACAAGTGCAACCAACAGGGGCCACTGTATATAACTGTTGTAACCAGCAGGTGGAACTGCACATATTTTGGAATGGGACAAGGTTCAAGGTTCAGAAACCCCCTACCAAGTTACATTTCACTGGAGAAACTTCCAACCATACCTTGCCATAAGACTGCACTAGAGCGTAAAAAAAAAGGTTAATGGAAGTAGCTTTAAGTTGGCCCCACCTCTCTTTAAATCCAAATGTTTGCTGACCCACAACAAATGCACTGATCTCTGAGTAGCTTAGCTTCTTCTTTAGTTCTCCTTGTTTGAAGAGCTGTAGGAAATTTTCTCAGATTTTTTAGCAACTCAAACCTTTGATCCAAAAATGTATCCAGAGTCCAATGATAATAATATAATAAAATGAGAATGACTATATGCTTTTGTGTTACGCACCGTAATCTAAAATTAATATCCTTCTCTTCAACAGATAAACAGACGGATGACATAAGAGTTCCTGCAGTCAACATAAATAACCCCATTGTAGCTGCCATAATCACTTCTCCTACTACCACTCGTACCACCACCACTGCCACTTCTCCCACTACCACTCGTACTACTACAACTTCTCCCACTACCACTCGTGCCACCACCACTCGTACTACTACCACTTCTCCCACTACCACTCGTACCACCACCACTGCCACTTCTCCCACTACCACTCGTACTACTACCACTTCTCCCACTACCACTCGTACCACTCACACTTTTACCACTTCTCCCACTACACTCGTACTACTACCACTGCTACTTCTTCTTCCCTCTACTACCACTCGTATTTCACTACTACTTCTCTACTACTACTGTATCTACTCACTACTGTATTTCACGCCTACTTCTCCTACTACTACTGTCTCACTACCACTCGTACCACCACCACTGCCACTTCTCCCACTACCACTCGTACTACTACCACTCGTACCACTCGTACTACTCCCACTACCACTCGTACCACTGCCACTACCACTCGTACCACCACCTTACCTACCACTACTCGCACCACCACCACTGCTACCACCACTACAACCACAAAAGCCACCACCACCCAGACTACCACCACACCTCCTTTGGTGGTCAGTAATGGTAAGAAAATATTCTTTTAAAGCTGCAACATAAAAAAAGGCAGTTTCATGTGAAATGTAGTGGTGTGTTACAGATAAATGTAAAGGACATGGAGATGGATATAATAAAAAAAAACTGCATATAACAATAAGGTAACCAGCAACCAGAAGGCCAGATAATGTTCTGGTGCATGGAGTAATGGACCAGTTTGCGTCTTCTAGTAGTGAAAGACGTGCCTTTGCTGACCAAATGTCTCCCTTAAAGGAACACTATAGTCACCTAAATTACTTTAGCTAAATAAAGCAGTTTTAGTGTATAGATCATTCCCCTGCAATTTCACTGCTCAATTCACTGTCATTTAGGAGTTAAATCACTTTGTTTCTGTTTATGCAGCCCTAGCCACACCTCCCCTGGCTATGATTGACAGAGCCTGCATGAAAAAAAACTGGTTTCACTTTCAAACAGATGTAATTTACCTTAAATAATTGTATCTCAATCTCTAAATTGAACATTAATCACATACAGGAGGCTCTTGCAGGGTCTAGCAAGCTATTAACATAGCAGGGGATAAGAAAATCTTAATTAAACAGAACTTGCAATAAAGAAAGCCTAAATAGGGATCTCTTTACAGGAAGTGTTTATGGAAGGCTGTGCAAGTCACATGCAGGGAGGTGTGACTAGGGTTCATAAACAAAGGGATTTAACTCCTAAATGGCAGAGCAGTGAGGCTGCAGGGGCATGTTCTATACACCAAAACTGCTTCATTAAATTAAAGTTGTTCAGGTGACTATAGTGTCCCTTTAACTTTATTTATGTTGTATTTTTGAAAACTTGATGTTCTTTTTAAAGTACCAGCTCTCATGGCCACTACCTGGTTAATCTCATGGGCATATCTGATCTACCTGGTTAATCTCATGGGCATATCTGATCGCTTTCCAAGATGTTTCTTACTTGGGATAGGTACTTGGGTATATGGAAAGCAGAATTACTATTATCATATGAGATGTTTCGCTGTCTTCACAGGTTGTGGTGGAAACTTCACAGCTGCATCGGCGATCATCACGTCTCCTAACTACCCCAAAAATTATCCCAGCAGTGCATACTGCGTATGGAACATCACTACCACCGCTCCGGTAAGGTCTGACCTGTGTTTTGTAAAACATGAGGAACCCTTTTGATGTTTAGACTGTCATTAATGTTTACCTGAGTAAACATAATACAGCTTTTCCATTAAGTTCCATGTTTATATATATATATATATACACTCCATAATGAAGGTCTCTGCATAAATCATCTACACTTGTGAAGGTATTGTTTTTATTCCCCCTTTTGTTCTCAGCCCTTTAACATGACAACCCCCCACACCCGCCCCAGTCATTCACATCTCCTTATCAACAAGGCCACCTGAAGCCTTTCATTCCATTAATGAGTCATGCCATAGTAGCCAAGTTTATTTTTTTTAACAAATGCATTTTTAAAGAGAGAGCTGTAATAACTGATTTAGAAGTTTCACCTGCAATATGTCATTTCCTTACAGTTCTCAGTGACTTTCACGTATTTTGACATTGAAAATGCAATAAATTGTGAGTTTGACTCCGTGAAGATATACAGAGGACCAAGCCCAAGTAAAATGTACCTGATGGATAGCCATTGTGGACAAACGTTACCCCGCCAACTTCTTTTCTATACTAATTCAGTTCAAATTGTTCTCACCACCGATGACAGTGTCCAAAACCGGGGATTCCGACTTGTTTACCAAAAAGGTAAGGACAAAAAGGATGCCATTGACAACTGACTTTTTCTTGAATTGGGTAGCAAGTCAGCTTCCCAATAATGGTAAATTCTATGCAGGATTACTTATAAGTTATACAATAGCCTATTATTGCTGTGTCTGTCATGGATTTAGATAAAAGAACCATCATGACCAGGGATGGTAGGTGTTTTTGCATTAATATGTGTTTATCAGCAGCAGGACTTCAGCATGTAAGCCTAAAAAAATAATAAACTTTAGTGCCTACATTATGGTAAATTGTGTAAAAATGGGAATATCGTATAGCTCTTATAAACACACCTATACAATTCATGGAAACTAAAACCAATAAAATATATGCATTAAAAAAATCCATGAATACTGAAGGTGTACTAAAATTCTTACTCGATTCAGCTGCACGTCCTATATCCTTTTAGACGTAATTGTTGCCATTGTTTTTATATGAGAAAGATTAAGATCCTCGCATCCTAGAAGGTTGACAGTTTGGGTAATCTACCTGAAGCCTTTGGCTGAGACAAAGACCAAGCCACAACTCCCATATTTAATCCCCCTTCTGTTATTCTTCTCCCATTGAAGTTGGAAATTTAATATGTTAAAGAAAGATAAACAAACTAAATTTTTATATAGTTGCGATTTTTGTAGAATATGTGGTGCATTCCGCCTTGAGTCATTTTTCAAGTATTTTAGTCTTTATTAGGAATAAGATCCATACAATAAGATCGTTAGTTGACACATTGGCAGGTATTTTTAGTCTAATGAAAATATTAAAAAATATCCAAACGTTTATTTTTCTTTAGTTGATCGTAGGCATGGCTAATCTTAAGAGATGTTTCCTGTAGTCAATCATTAGAGAGTCCCTTTAAAATTGACCAATGATCATAGCTTTTAGAATTTTAAATTATGTTATTTCTATTCCATTCTTATTTTGCAGTTTGAAAGGAATTCGGCATAAAGAAAGCTGGGACTTATCAGATCACTGGATGTATTTGCAAGATCCCCAAGTTTAACACATTTTTAAAAACAAACTCGCCTGAAGTGTATTGCTGACTTCCAAATCACGGAGAATAGTTTTACGTTTTTTATTAACTTATTTTTTGAATGTATACACATTAACAGCTTATTGGTTATACATAATATTGATGTCATTTTTTCCCCTATTTTCCAATTTCTTCTGATGTGATCTCTGTAAACACAGCTGTTTTCTGGCAGCTGGGGATTTTTGTTAATTTCTTAATTCCAGAACGTTGCCTAAAATTCTGATTATTCGTTTCCAATCAAAGTTGATTCATGACGAAACACAGTGGACAAGTCATTAATCAAGTTTTTATTTGGGTAAATTCATATAAAGCAGACAAAATAAATACATTTAAATGACATAATGTTGCTGGCAAGCTGTTTCATCTGCTCTAAAATAAAATATTATTTTTATTCATTTTTTTGTTTTTGTTTTGTATTTTTTTTGTAATGGTGTCTTCTCGCTAAACAGCACAATGAAAAATTAGGGTTTTAAAGCCAAAACCAAAGGTGCAGTCTTCAACTGAATTAAGGTGGGAGCGGCATACAGTAGATATGCAAAGGTAGGACGATATGATAAAACTTTAAATATTTACCATCTCTGTTATCTTTACCATACTGAAAGAAGGACTGTTGCCACTGGTCCTAATACACCTCCGAGCATAACTCCCAACTGGGCAAAACTTTTTGGTCACATCCACCCCCTCCTGCTATGTGTCAGCAGTGTTGTATGTCAACCCTTCATCCACATCTTACTTTTCACTCCTGCTGCTGTTGAGAGGGATGCCTTGGGGCCCTCAGTTAATGCATTTTTGGCTTCTGCCCTTTTTGCCATAGATTGTCGAATAAATTACACTCAGTAGTCATTGTCAATAAGGTAAATAGAAACATTAAAGAGATCGGAGTAGGTGGGAGTGTGTAATATGGGCAAATGATAGCCATCACTTCCAAATTTCCCCTGCTACCGCTTGTCTCAAGTCCCCACTGTATCCTTTAGATTGTAAGCTCACGGGGTATCTAGCTAAGCACTTTGTATAAAAGAACTTTAATGGCTAGATATCAGCTTACGGGCAGGGCCCTCTCTACCTTTTGTATTTGTCTGTGTATATTGTACGTACTCCACTAATTGTACAGCGCTGCAGAATATGTTGGCGCTTTATAAATACCAGTAATAAATAAGTAAATGAAAAGAGAAATTCTCTGTGAAAGTGACAGTCTGATTAGTGGAGTGGAGCCCTTCAACTGAGTTTTGCTTGGGTTAGATGTAGGAGATTGGCAGTCTTATCTCCACAGCGGAGAACTTTTTAGGTTTTCTCAGAAGGCTCTTGGGTTGTCAGATAATTGCTGGATCTCTGTGGCAGTACAGCATCTATTCTTGGAGAAACTGTATCCCATACACAAAAAAACATGCTTTTTTCCACAATATTCTGTATTTTACGTTTTTAGCAGACTTTTATTTCATGTGCAAAAGTGATCTGTCTAACATGCTTTTTTCGACATGTACAGGTGCCCTTTGTGGATTGGAGGTGATCCCTGCCTTGCTGCGGAAGGCACTGAAAACAAGTGTGTATTCTCCGTGTGTGTGTGTGTGTGCAAACTCACAACCACAGTGAATAGATTTTTTTTTACTTGCTTTACGGACACTATAGTCACCAGAACAGCTACAGCTTATTGAATTTGTTCTGGTTAGTAGAATCATTACCTTCAGGCTTTTTGCTGTAAACACTGTCTTTTCAGAGAAAATGCAGTGTTTACATTACAGCCTAGTGATAACTTCACTGGCCACTCCTCAGATGGCTGTTAGAGATCCTTCCTGGGTCATGGCTGCCTAAAATGCATCCAAACATTCAGTATCTCCTCCCTCTGTGTGCAGACACTGTACTTTCCTCATAGAGATTACTTGATTCAATTCATCTCTATGAGGAGATGCTGATTGGCCAGGGCTGTGTTTGAATCATGCTGGCTCTGCCCCTGATCTGCCTCTTTGTCAGTCTCAACCAATCCTGTGGGGAAGCACTGTGATTGGATCAGGCCACCACTTCTAATGATGTCAGGAGACTGCTTGTTTTTCTGAGTCTAACAGCATGCAGAGTTACAGCTTCAGGCTTGAATACAGTAAGATTTTGCTATATTTATGGAGGCATGAGGGGCCTAGGGTGGCTAGATGGTGGTTTTAACACTATAGGGTCAGGAATACATGTTTGTGTTCCTGACGCTATAGTGATCCTTTAAGGCTGGTTCCTACGAAGCACCAGTGAAGTCACGGGAGGAGGGAAACTCTGCGTAAAAGGAATATTTCTCGTGAAATCCCCAGGCAGTGATTTTTTTTTCCCTCTATTGCTCCTTTAAACTCACTATCGGGTATTTAGAGTACAATTGATGATAAATATATGTGATAGCCCTTTGATTTGTATGATCTCATATGTGATGTTTAAACCACAAAACACTCTGGGTGTAATTCACTAAACACAGTATTATTGTAAATTGAAAACCGAATTGCAACACTTAGGAAAAAGGTGCTGATTTTGGGACAGGGGACTAAGGGTGATGGGGGTGAGGAAATCTCAAACTCCTCTATAGTCACTCAATCAACTATTTGCCATTTAGGAGTTAAATTACAGTGTGTATGCAACTCTGGCCATAGCTTCCCTGACTCTGTCTTACACAGCTTGTCTACACACTTGCACAGTCAGTTTAACTTAGAATTTTGTATTTCCTGCTCCGTTAATGGCCTGCAAGAGCCTTGTGTCTGTGCTTAAACTTCAATTCTCAGAGCCATCTTCTACAGTAAACACACTGTGTTGTAAAAACTTTTCATAGTCAAAGCCTGGGGAGGTGTTACCAGAGCTGCATATACATTAACAAAAGTGATTTAAGTCCAAAATGGCATCAAATTTTGCAGTGAGACTGCAGGGGAATGGTCTATACACCAAAACTGCTTTATTAAGCTATTTGTGTTTCGGTGCCTATAGTATTCATTTAAGGGCAGCACAGTAATTTACCTTTCGTGGCATGGCCAATAGTATGCAAACCCCACCCCTCCCAAACAGATATACTACACCTTTTTTAATGCTATTTACATTTAGAAATTTTACGTGCCTTCTCCCTAGCAATTAATTCCAAATCCCAGCTCCAGAATCCACACCCCAGGCAGGCATCTAATATCACTGATCTCATTTCCAGCCTAGTAGTGACCTCACTGTCAGTTCCATTAGCCGATGTTACTTGGTCCTTTGAAACCAGCCATTGTCCAATATACTGAGTCTGCCTGCATCTCCAATCTCTGCCTCTTTACAAACATGTCAACAGTTTCTTTACCCAAACTGCCAGTGTACTTTATTACCCTCATCCACACAATTGAATTAATCTGCCAATCAGCCAATCACTGTTTTCCCAATTACCGCAGCAAGGCAATTCGCCATAATACCCCTGAGTGAACCAATTCTGTTCATCCCAGCTACAGAGTTATTCATTGTCCATCAATGTTCAAGTCAGTGGGCCTTTCAATGTTTCATCAGTCAACTAGAGTTTTAGAATTTTAGTTTTTTAATTGTATGCTAATCTATAATATATAATTATATTGATTAATCCTTCTGCAGAGAATCTGGTGAATTATTCCACTATGGTTGAATGTATACGTTAGCTTAGAGTTGTGCAGAGATCCTGGGCCACTGATTTACAAGCCTTAACTTTTTTCTTGGTCATCAAAAAAGATGCCCTCCGCTCATCCTTAATTCACCCTTAGTGATTGCACCTCTGGTAGTTGAAAATAAATAGGAATCGTGTCAAGTTCCACAAGTAAAGGTCAGGCTGAGTCTCGTGTCATCTGATTCTCAAAGTGCTGAACCAGGTCCATTTACTGTAGGTGACTCTCTTTTGGACCTTAGTTGGGAACGAGAGAAGAATTGAAGGCTGGCTTTGCAAAGGACCTTGTACAAAGTCAACATGAAGTCTTCACAGTTGAGAATTTCTTTCTCCCCGGAGCTGGCATGCAAACTCTACAGAAAAAAAAGTGCAATACTATTGTTTAGCAACAATGCATCATCTTGAGTCTACAGAGGATGGAATTCATTTAAGAACATCATACATAGTTAATAAAACTGTACACCTAGAACTACAGTAACAGTTCGCCTGGAGGCCTCCAGGCACCATAACAACTTAATTTAGATTAAGTTGTTATGGTAACCAGACTACCCTTTTAAATCACTTTTGTTTCTGTCCATGCAGTCCTTGCCACACCTCCCCTGGTGTAATTTTAATTTACAATTTTTTACCTCCTGCTCTGTAAATTGAACGTTAAAGGAACACTATAGGTTCAGGAACACAAACATGTATTCCTGACCCTATAGTGTTAAAACCACCATCTATTCCTGCTGGCCCCCCCTTCCCTCCCTAAATATAGTAAAATTTTACTTGTATTTAAATCTGCAGCTGCTGGCTCTGCCCCGATCTGCCTCTGACCGGTCTGCTGACATTATCAGAAGTGGTGGTCTGAACCAATCACAGTGCTTCCCCTTAGGATTGGCTGAGACTGTCAAAGAGGCAGATCAGGGGCAGAGCCAGCACAAGTCAAACAAAGCCCTGGCCAATCAGAATCTCCTCACAGAGATTAAATGAATCAATGAATCTCTATGAGGAAAGTTCAGTGTCTCCATGCAGAGGGTGGAGACACCGAATGGCAGTGCTGCTCACTGTGCATGACTTCTTACAAAGTGTATATTATTATTATTATTATTTACAAAAGCGCCAACAAATTCTGCAGCGCTGTACAAAGGGTGGACTAACAGACACTTATTTGTAACCAGATAAGTTGGATGCACAGGAAAAGAGGGATTGAGGGCCCTGCTCAATGAGCTTGCATGCTAGAGGTAGTGGGGTATAGTGACACAAAAGGTAAGGGTAGGGTAGAAAGGTAGGTTGCTAGGATAGTATTCATTGAGGGCTTAGTGTTTTGTTTTTAATAACAGTTTAAGGAGAGGAATCAGGGTGAGGGGAGTGAAAGCTGTTCACAGTTTAATTGATATGCTTTCCTAAAAAGGTTTTCAATAATTTTTGAAGGAGTGAAGTCTACCAGAGTGAAGTCTATCCATAGGAACGGTACTGCCCTAGAGAAGTCTTTAAGGCGAGCATCAGAGGTAGGAGCACGTACAGAAGTTAGACCAAGGTCTCCGGCAGAGCGTAGGGGCCTAAATGGGACATATTTGTGTTTTATTGAGGAAAAGTAGGTTAGAGCAGCATTGTGTAGAGATTTGTAAGTAAGTATCAGACTTATTAATTGAGTTCTATATCTTATGGGAAGCCAATGTAGGCACTGACGGGGGGAGGGGGGCGTGCAATACCAATACTGACCTTCCAATACTGAGAGAAACCCAACAAAACCAATATTGACCTACCATTAATGAGATAATCCCAGCAAGATCAATACTGACCTACCAATTCTGACCAACAATACCAATACTGACCTACCAATACTGAGATAAAAACGGCGATACCGATACTGATTTACCAATACTGAGAGAAACCCAGCAATAATGACCCAACAATACCAATACTGATTTACCAATACTGAACGAAACCCAGCAATACCGATACTGATTTACTAATACTGAGAGAAACCTAGCAATACCAATACTGACCTACCAATACTAATACTGAGAGACACCTAGCAATACCAATACTGACCTACCAATACTAATACTGAGAGACACCTAGCAATACCAATACTGACCTACCAATACTAATACTGAGAGACACCTAGCAATACCAATACTGACCTACCAATACTAATACTGAGAGACACCTAGCAATACCAATACTGACCTACCAATACTAATACTGGAGACACCTAGCAATACCAATACTGACCTACCAATACTAATACTGAGAGACACCTAGCAATACCAATACTGACCTAGCAATACCAATACTGACCTACCAATACTAATACTGAGAGACACCTAGCAATACCAATACTGACCTACCAATACTGAGAGACACCTAGCAATATCAATACTGACCTACCAATACTAGGAGAAACCCAGCAATATCAATAATGACCCACCAATACTGGTCAACAATACCAATACTGATTTACCAATACTGAGCAATACTAACATTGACCTAGCAATACTGGGAGAAACCCAGCAATACTAATACTGAGAGACACCTAGCAATACCAATACTGACCTACCAATACTAATACTGAGAGACACCTAGCAATACCAATACTGACCTACCAATACTAATACTGAGAGACACCTAGCAATACCAATACTGACCTACCAATACTGAGAGACACCCAGCAATACTAATACTGAGAGACACCTAGCAATAACAATACTGACCTACCAATACTGAGAGACACCCAGCAATACTAATACTGAGAGACACCTAGCAATACCAATACTGACCTACCAATACTAATACTGGGAGACACCTAGCAATATCAATACTGACCTACCAATACTGAGAGACACCTAGCAATACCAATACTGACCTACCAATACTAATACTGAGAGACACCTAGCAATATCAATACTGACCTACCAATACTAATACTGAGAGACACCTAGCAATATCAATACTGACCTACCAATACTAATACTGAGAGACACCTAGCAATATCAATACTGACCTACCAATACTAATACTGAGAGACACCTAGCAATATCAATACTGACCTACCAATACTAATACTGAGAGACACCTAGCAATACCAATACCGACCTACCAATACTGAAAGACACCTAGCAATACCAATACTGACCTACCAATACTAATACTGAGAGACACCTAGCAATACCAATACTGACCTACCAATACTAATACTGAGAGACACCTAGCAATACCAATACTGACCTACCAATACTGAGATACACCTAGCAATACCAATACTGACCTACCAATACTAATACTGAGAGACACCTAGCAATACCAATACTGACCTACCAATACCAATACTGACCTACCAATACTGAGAGACACCTAACAATACCAATACTGACCTACCAATACTGAGAGACACCTAGCAATACCAATACTGACCTACCAATACTGAGAGACACCTAGCAATACCAATACTGACCTACCAATACTAATACTGAGAGACACCTAGCAATACCAATACTGACCTACCAATACTAATACTGAGAGACACCTAGCAATACCAATACTGACCTACCAATACTAATACTGAGAGACACCTAGCAATACCAATACTGACCTACCAATACTAATACTGAGAGACACCTAGCAATACCAATACTGACCTACCAATACTAATACTGAGAGACACCTAGCAATACCAATACTGACCTACCAATACTAATACTGAGAGACACCTAGCAATACCAATACTGACCTACCAATACTAATACTGAGAGACACCTAGCAATACCAATACTGACCTACCAATACTAATACTGAGAGACACCTAGCAATACCAATACTGACCTACCAATACTAATACTGAGAGACACCTAGCAATACCAATACTGACCTACCAATACTAATACTGAGAGACACCTAGCAATACCAATACTGACCTACCAATACTAATACTGAGAGACACCTAGCAATACCAATACTGACCTACCAATACTAATACTGAGAGACACCTAGCAATACCAATACTGACCTACCAATACTAATACTGAGAGACACCTAGCAATACCAATACTGACCTACCAATACTAATACTGAGAGACACCTAGCAATATCAATACTGACCTACCAATACTAATACTGAGAGACACCTAGCAATATCAATACTGACCTACCAATACTAATACTGAGAGACACCTAGCAATACCAATACTGACCTACCAATACTGAGAGACACCTAGCAATACCAATACTGACCTACCAATACTAATACTGAGAGACACCTAGCAATACCAATACTGACCTACCAATACTAATACTGAGAGACACCTAGCAATACCAATACTGACCTACCAATACTAATACTGAGAGACACCTAGCAATACCAATACTGACCTACCAATACTAATACTGAGAGACACCTAGCAATACCAATACTGACCTACCAATACTGAGAGACACCTAGCAATACCAATACTGACCTACCAATACCAATACTGACCTACCAATACTAGGAGAAACCCACTCTCGTTACTGGTAGTGCATTAACATCCTCAAAATACCAACATCAACCTAAAAATATTATTTACATACAATATTAATGATTTATTTAATAGAATAATAACAATCCGACATAAATGTTGCCCAGAAAATATTAGATTCTCACCATTCTAGTTCCAGCTCCAAAGGATAAGAACATTTATCTCATTGGGATAAACTGACTACTATGTTAACCTTCTTTAAATCTTCCCACAGTAAGCCAAGCAGGGTTAATTGGTAACGTTCCAGGTAGATAATCAATTATTATTAGCCTCTTTCATTTGTCACATAATAACCACCTCTAATTGCTACATGTAACACTACTGTCTAACCGTCTACTGAAAGTCGTCTTATTGTCCCATACCTGAGTTTCGGTCCTGGTAGTTCTTCTCCATGGCTGCAATATTGCCCTGCTCTTCTCAAGTTGATACATCGCGCCCTCCCCAGGCATTTTCGTTGCGGACCTCCAGCTCTGCTCCCCAGGCACTTGGAGATTTCTCTTGACTTCCACATTCATAATGGGTTCTCCTGCCGCTTGGAGTCTTCTCCACGATTCTTCCAGACCTCTCTCTGGTTCTCCTTGCACCTGGAACCTTCTAATATCCACATTAGTCTTTTGTTCCCAAGGCATTTGGAGTCCTCTCCTCACCTCTTCCAGACTTCTCTCCTCTTCTTCTGTCATGGGCAAATTTATCAAGGACTCGTCAAGATTCGTTAGTTGTTGGTCTCTCCTCTTGACCTCTTCTAGACTTCGTCTTTCTTCCTCTTGTTCCTGTAGACCCCTAATCACCTCTTCCATCGCTCTGTCTTCCAGCCCCCTGCCTGTCTTCCATCGTAAACTTTCTTCCATACTATTACTGACCTCATCTGGACCAGGATAAAGCAAATGTTCAGTATCTGCATCTTCCAGAAGCCCATGGACAACCTCATTTCCATGAAGATCTCCTTTCTGGTTGTCTATCCATCTGTCTCCACTCACACTTCTCCTCCAAAGGTAGGGTGACCTTCTCACCCCTATCAAGAGCCCCGATGCTCTGCCCACTGTGTGGTACCTGGGGCTAGCAGAGTGCTTGTACCAGGAGACACCTGGTTGTGGGGCAGCGAGGAGAAGAAAGAACCACCACCAACCAACATGAGGCAATACCCATAGCATCGCTGACCAAAAGAGGAGGGTCCAACAGAGGTGAAGGTAGTGATCTTGGTGAAGGACTCAGTGTGAAATCCTCAGGGCTAGTGAGTTAATAGTGAATGGAAGGTATAGCAATGAGTGATCCTCTGTAGTAATCTGCAGGAATGAGGTGTATTCAGAGACCAGACAGGATCCCAAAATGCAGATACCTTGACAGATTCACTAACTCAGTATGTGTTGAATCCTCTCTCCCCCTCTATATATCTCTGATCTTGAGGGGGAGGGGGTTAGGAGTCATCATAGAAGCATCACTCACAACAGACTAATTTTACAACTGGATAGGGGGTAGTGCTTCGAAATCTGTGTTCTAGAGTTTGTTTGTTTGTTTGTGTGTATGTGTGTGTGTGTGTTGGGGGGTCACAGTGCATTTACAGAATGTGGGGTTTATAATTTGTGTGATTTAAACAAAGGACTTCATGAAATTAATGGGGTATTAACTATATTTTCAATAAAGGGGGGGGGAGTAGGGGGGAGAGAATATGAAATGTTAATAGGAACTCATAATATAGGCTGGAGAGAAATAATTGTTGTCTTCATGTCTGCTCTGCACAGGAGTTGGATGGATGAACCTGCATTTAATAATCTGGGACTGAAACAAGTAACAGAATTAGTTACATTTATGCAGAACTAATCCAAACACGAATACACTAGCTGTTATACTGATACAAGTAACAGAATAAGTTACATTTATGCAGAACTAATCCAAACACGAATACACTAGCTGTTATACTGATACAAGTAACAGAATAAGTTACATTTATGCAGAACTAATCCAAACACGAATACACTAGCTGTTATACTGATACAAGTAACAGAATAAGTTACATTTATGCAGAACTAATCCAAACACGAATACACTAGCTGTTACCAGTCAGGGGGCTTTGCATGAAAAAACATTGAACACAAGGGTTAAAGATTAAAAAAAGGTTTGGTTTGTCTGTAAAAGGTGGTCTCTTTTTGCATTTAGGAGACATTAAAGTAACACTTTGGTCACCATAACAACTTCATCTAAATTAAGTTATGGTTCCAAGAGGCCTCCAGGCACTTTCTTACCTTAATGTGTTAAACCGTTCTCAAACAGTTTAACCCCAAAGGCTGCTTTCAGCACTGGATCTGCAGTTCCAACAGGCGTCATCCACCTTCTCATATGAATTTCAGGCAGCGCGGAGTGGCGCAGGTTTGCTAGATAAGTCAGCCGACACTCTAAGCCAACCAGTTGCTCCCCATATATAAAAAATATGGAGGATTGCAGATCCGGCGCTGGAGGAAGCCTTTGGGTTTAAACCATTTGAGAACGGTTTAACCCCTGAAGGTACGAAATTGGCTAAAGGGGGCCAGGGGACGTGCTGGCAGCATAACAACTTCATTTAGATGAAGTTGTTGTGGTGACTGGAGTGTTCCTTTAATCTAAGGATTTAACTATAATAATCTCAATCCAACTTTAAAAACACCATTCAAAGCATTTAACTCCTAAGATCCTGCGTCTTGCTATCACACAGAAATCAATGATATAGTAACCCATGTCTAAGTGCTTTGTTCTGCAGAATGATCTGTCATAACGCACTGAGAATAGGAAGATGTTTGCAGAATGAAAAATACCATCTTAATGTATACAAAAGGAAGCGCAGAAGAATAAGTAACACATTCCTTAGCAAATATATACGATAAAGATAAAATGAATGAAATATGCCGTGTTTTTCATTAATAGTAGCAATCAATGGTTTTTAGGATTTCCTCCCAAGGTACAATGCTCAACTGGATGGAAAATTATACCAGTAGAAGAGGTTAAATCTAAGCATGAAGGCGTTAATGCAAATTTGTCATGATAGGGTTGATTCACTAAGCAGTGAACTGAAAAAAGAATTCCAAAATCCTAAGTAAAATGAGTAATCTGTAACTTTAGCAGTGCTGGGGTATTACATTTTGTGAATTGCTTAGGCTGTTTAGACCAGGGGTGCCCAGAAAGTTAATCCCCATGATGTTTTGAAGCTATAGTTCTAAAACATTTGGGGATCTACCTTTTGGGCACCCCTGGTCCAGACAGACCTCTAAATTCCATTATAATAAATACAGTTTAAGTTGCATTATTTACCATAGGGCTTGGTAGAGAACAATTATTAAAACGTATGAAAAAATGACCAGCAGCTACAACCTTAGCTGATCATAGAAAGGCAGGTCATATCAGGAATATTTACATGTCGCAAGATTCATTTAAAGGGACACTATAGGCACCCAGACTATTTCATCTCATTGAAGTGGTCTGGATGCAGTGTCCCTGTTTTAGAGAATGTTTGTAGGGTTAAGACTGCCTGTAGTGGCTGTCAACAAGACAGACACTTGAGGGGCGTCTTGGCATTTCATAGAGTTTAATTCTGTAAACAACACTGGACGTCCTAACACTTTGCACGAGGACATGAGGATCATGAGTGTGGCACCCCACACGCAGGCACATTCGTCTCCCCCCTGCAATGACGTCGGGGGAGGCAAAGACAGGCCCAGGGCGTAGGCTCTCGGGTAGTTATTCAAAGGGATTAGGATTTAGTGCCGCAGGGGCGGAGGGATACTGTAGTGTTAGCAATACAGCTTTGTACTCCTAACACCAAAGTGTTCCTTTATCTGTGAATTGGGTTCACTAAGTTTACTAAGGAATGGCAAAATTAAGGCCAATATAACCATGCTGGGAACATAGTTTGTCCTAAAAAAAAAATAATGAAAAAAATAAATAAAATAATGGTATTTAACTTCAAAGATCCTGAGGCTGCACATCTGAGAGAGATAAACTGTCTGGAAGCTCAGGCACAGCCCTCCTTGACCAGGAGGTGGCCCCACCAATCAGTGTTGGCTTTATCCTATACATAACTAACCAGCAAAGGTATTTGGAATAAGAGGTTTATCCCTTGCTGCAGTGTCCCGGGATGAGTGAAACTAGGGTATAAACTGACAGCAGTCATACAATCAGTTCACAGATACACATAGATCAGTCTAAACATACTCAGGGTCTTTCACTAAAGTGAGAACTGTCAGGAATTCACTGGGGAATTAAAGTGAATTTCAAATGTAAGGCCGAAATATCTGAACTTGAAGGATAGTTGAATTGTAGAATTTTTCCAATTTAGCTATTTTTGCCTTAGATTCGATTTAAATTATGTTTGAATTACATGTGATGCTCAAGACAGTGAATAAACCTGACAGTGCATAACCCAGTAAGTACCTTGCCAGCTGCAGTGGTTATGGTGCACCCCTGCAAGCACTCTGCATGCTGCAGTGGTTATAGTGCTAACACTGTGTGTGGTTATGTGCCCTATTTCTGACTCAAATTAAGTGTTCCATAAGCATCCGCGGCATGGCCCTTCTCTGTCCATATATCTGATGTTAGTTCCACTTCCACATTAGCAATATCAATGATTCTACTATAAAGAATATCTATCTATAAATACTGGTCATTTCAGTCTAGTATCTCCAAAAAGGGATTCATTTAGCACACATGGTACAGAACAGAAAACAAAATTGCAACATTTAGGCTAAAGCAGCCAGACTGAGATTGTAGCATAACTGGAGATTATTTTCCAAATCAGCATTTTTTGCCTAACCTTTGCAGTTTGTCAGTTTTCAGTTCAATAAAAGATATCATTTGGAAATTGTTGCGTGTACGGCAGCCATTGTACAAGATGCACATTGAGAGCCAATCTCTGAATATTCATTCACACTCTCTTTAGTTCAATATCAAGACTGAGATGTTGCATCCTACAGGGTCCTACAGGGCCAAAATTCAAAGTAGGGTTTGGGGAGTCAATACATTTTTACAAACAATGAATGTTTAATGTATAGAGATTTGTTTGACTAGATACAGAAGATAACATCTTTTAATTGAGCTCCATTTGCCATTTCGCAAGTCTGGCTCTTTCGATTGCAACGCTCGTAACAGTAAACATTTGAGGCTCCAGCGCTCAAATTTCTGCCCGATAACTTTCTGTGAGTTCACCTCACACCAGACATTGCATTTGTTAGAGTGAAATTGTTAGAGTGAAATTAGCGCTGATGAATAATCCGTGGATTTTCTGTACCCCAGAAATGACAGTTTTGCTTAATGACAAAGCCATTTGAATGAAAATGAGCTTCGTCAGACATGATAAGTTGATGAATAAGTTAATTGTTTTCTCTGGCTAATTTGTTGTTCCTCCGTGAAATTACCCATGATGAATCTTCCAAGACTCCGTTATAATATGTAATTGCAAAAAAAATAAAAAATAAACTACTAACAAATAAGTTTCTACTCTGAATTTCGCCCTACCCTGTATAACTAGGTCTTACCAGTCTGATGTGCATACGTCAGCCTAACAGAAAGTTAATAAAATGCATACAATTTGGGTGACTATCGCTAAGAGGAAAAAAAATCTATAGTTAAGCGGAGCCGGAGATTTCTCATTTTGCAAGTCATTTTTAAACGCATGCACTGTTTAGTAAATAAGCCCCATGGTAGCATGTCTGTGTGCTTGTTCCACAGATATATGTCGTACATTTAAGCTAGAATAATGATTTCTCTAAGTGCCCACAAATAATGGCCTTTCAGGCTCCCAGGATAGGTGCGAATGCCATAGAGACAGCTGATTGCTCAGTTAGACTCAGGAAAAAAAATAAAATAAATGCAGATAATTAGCCTTGATAGTTGATTTGTAATTTATGCTATTGTTGCGCAGTTGGTAAACTCGTAAAAAATCAGAACACATGTCTAAAATCTCATTATCCCCTAAACAAATAGGTCCGCATCGCTCTCTCTTTTTTTCATAAAGAAATTATCCGTAAACATTGAACTTTCGCAACAACATAAAAGATCATAAATATCTTCAACACATTTTCTCTAATTACTCATCTTAATGGTAGTTAAATGTTGCTGAATGTCACGCAACATAATGCGAGATTGTTTAGAATCACAAACAGCTTGTGTTCAGTGCTATGGGGGAGCGAAAGAAAAACTATTTTTACACAAAGTATGTAGAAATGCATTAAATGTAAGTTATGATGAAAAATGTGTTTGTGTTTTGCACCGTTAGATGTATGGTATTGTCACCGCAAAACACGGCGTTATAGTAAACACAAATAATGGACCTTTTAACATCACTGCTTAATTTGTAACTATGACATTACAAGTCATCACAAATTGTTCTACAACACTTGCTCTGTCACATGGCAGTGTTAATAAAAATGCTATTGCGTGTTGTGCTAAAATAAAACAGAATTTCTTTTTAGTTTAGAATGGATACTTAAAATAATATAGGGATCAGTACTGTCTCCACTAAAAACACTTCTGTTAATGTCAGGTTCAGTTACTAGGGTTGATATGTTGGGTATTTTATTGTGCGGTTAGCAATGAATGCCTGTATGAATGTGGGCCAAGATTAGGCACTCCAGATGCTGTGGACTACATCTCCCATAGCTCTTAAAGCCATAATAATAGCAAAGCATCAGGGGAGTTGCAGTCCACAACATTTGGAGTTCTGAGGGTTGCCTGCCCCTGGACTAGTCTGTGCATGCATGAAAACATTTGGTGAAAATTCTGTTTATTTTATTTTTATCTCTGGCATTTATAAAACACCAACATATTCCACAGTACTATAGAATTATGGTGGAACATACAATATACGCAGACAGACCTGGACTGGCCATTGGGCAAACGCCTGGTGGGTCGCGATGGCCATGGGTCAATGCCAGCATAGGGATCAGAGGAGCTCCCCTGCTGGCCAATGCAAAACATTGCTGGTCGTGCTATGTGCTTCACGGGCCATTGGAGAGCTCACGGTCCATATGCAGTGAAATCCAGAGAGAAGAGGCAGAGGAGGATGCGGGGGCTCTAACCTGCAGCTCCGCCTGCTCCTGAAAGTTCCTTTTGCGAGGTCGGAGCGTAGCCACGGTTACCATGATAGCATTCTGTCCAGATCTTGCGAGAGTGAACTCTAGCCCCAGGAGCTGCAGGCTAGAGTTCACTCCCCACCAGACCACTGCACCCAACACACACAATACCACCTCACATACACACAAAATGCCCCCACATACACACACAATACCCCCTGACACACACACACACAAAGAAAACACCATCACACACACTGCACCCCAGCCACACAATACCCCTTCACACACACTGAACTCCTCACACACACATTACACACATAATACCCCACTAACCCCCACACACTTACAATACCCCCTCACACAATGCATCCCTCACACACACAATACCCCACCTCAAACACACTGCACCCATCACACACATTGCACCCCACACACAGAGACTGCATCCCTCACACACATTGCATCACACATACTGCACCCTTCACATGCCCACTACACCCCTCACACACACATTTCACCTCACACACACTGCACTCACACACACACACACATACATACCTCAAACACATACTCTGCACAGCCACACACCCTTAAAATACCCCTTCACAAAAAATGCACCCCTCAAACACACAATACCCCACCACACACACACTGCACCCCTCACACACATTGCACCCCCGCACACAGCATCCCTTACACACACATTGCACCACACACACATTGCACCCCTCACACACATTGCAGCACACACACACTGCACCCTTCACAGGCACACTACATTCCTCACACACACATTGTACAACATACAAATTGCACTCATCACACACACATTGCAACTGACACACACACTGCACTCACACACACACCTCAAACACACACTCTCCACAGCCACACACAGACACACACGTACAATACCCCTTCACACACTATGCGCCCCTCAAACACACAATACCTCACCTCACACACACTGCACCCCTCACACACACACATACTATCCTTTACACACACATTGCACCACACACATACTGCACCTTTCACACGCACACTACACACTTCACACACACATTGCACAACATACACTTTGCACCCCTCAACACATTGCATCCCACACACTGCATCCTTCACATGCACACTGCATCCCTCACACGCACACTGCACCCCTTACACACAAATTGTACCCCTCACACACACATTGCATCTCACACACACACTGCACACCTCACACACATTGCATCCCACACACACATTGCATCCCTCAAAATCACATAGCACCACACATACACATGTACACTACACCCATCACACACAAAGTGTACCCCTCACACACATTGCACCTTACACACACTGCACCCCTCACACACACATTGCACACCTCACACACACACACTCTGAACACCTATACACTAGATCCCCTATAGACACTACATCCCTTATGCAAACACTCTACAACTTACACACACTACATTCCAGACACACACCCTGCATTGTAGTGACATCCCTTATACACACTGTGGATCCTCTACACACACTAGATCCCCAACACACACTCCAGATCCTCTACACACAACACTACAACCTACACACACACTACATTCCTGACATACACACTTTGAATCCCCTATGCACATACTAGATTCCCTGTGCGCAAACACAGAAACTACATTCCCTAAACTAACACTCTCTACAGCCACACACAGACACTAATCCCTCACACACATTGCACCCCTCAAACACACAATACCCCACCTCACACACATTGCCCTACACACACACATTGCACCTCTCACACACATTGCACCAGACACACTGAACCCTTCACACGCACACTACACTCCTCACACACACATTGCACAACATACAAATTGCACCCCTCACACACATTGCACCCAACACACTGCATCCCTTACATGCATGCTACACCCCCTCAGAGACACACTGCTCCCCTTACACAAGAATTGTACCCCTCACACACACATTGTACCTCAAACACACTGCACCCTTCACACACATTGCATGCCACACAACGCATCCCTCACACGCACACTACACCCCTCATACACACACTGCCTCCCTCACACACACTGCACCCCAAACACACACTGCATCCCTCAAAATCACATAGCACCACAAATATTGCAACACACATACACACTGCACCCCTCACACACAAATTGTACCCCTCACACACATTGCACCTCACACACACACTGCACCCCTCACACACATTGCACCCTGCGCACACACACACAC